TGTGGGTGTAGATGGAAATGAGAAAGCGGACAAGCTAGCAAAGAAAGCATTAAATCATCAGCAAATAGAAATGAATGTATTTTTAAGTAAATCAGAAATGAAAACATTGATTACAATTGAAACTCGAAAGAAATGGCAAACGATATGGAATAATGAGTCAAAAGGAAGACATTTGTATCAGATTCAAAAGTTTATTGGAAAGGAGAGGAAAAGATATGGAAATAGGAAAAAAGATATAATTATTTCAAGGCTAAGAATAGGTCACACAGCATTAAACTACAGTCTTTTTAAAATAGGGAAACATGAAACAGGAAATTGTGACAAATGCAGAGATCCAGAAACAGTACAACATATTATTTTTGAGTGTACTGCGTATGTAAGGGAGAGAATGAAGTTCATACAAGAGTTGAGAAAAATAGGGATTAATGGGAATTCAATAAAAGCACTGTTAGGAAACGAGATAAGACAAACAAGAGTTAATGAAATATTATTCAAATATCTAAAAGATACAGGAACAATTAATAGGATTTAGTTATAGGATTCTTTTTTTATTTATTTATTTATTTTTGGGTATAGCGCAGTCTTCCAAAATTGTGCACTCCACACTCCAGATCAGTAGGTGGCGGAAATGCACCTTTTACGTTGGCCTGCCAATCCGCCATAAAACAACAGAAGAAGAAGAAGAAGAAGAAGGATGTATGCTTTGCTTTGTGCAGGCAGTCTGGAGCGGAGTATGTGTGATTTCGGGGTAAAACTCCTCTTGGACGCGATGGCGACTCTGCATCGAACAAGACGAACTCAAAGAAGAGATGCTAGCGGTAAATATATGTTCGATTACTGCCTGCTAAGCTACAAGCAGCCTAGCCTAAGCTACGGCTAATAGCAGCCTAGCCTAAAGCTACGGCTAATAGCAGCCTAGCCTAAAGCTACGGCTAATAACAGCCTAGCCTAAAGCTACGGCTAATAGCAGCCTAGCCTAAAGCTACGGCTAATAGCAGCCTAGCCTAAAGCTACGGCTAATAGTAGCCTTGCAAGAACAAGCTTTATTAAAGTGCATTTTTTGTGATTCACAGGAAGCAGTACGCCGTCTTCACAACTCGGAGACTAATTGCAGGCGCTATGAACCGGAGCAAGGGTAAGATTTAAAGAATATGCTTTCATTCTGCGGTAAAAGGAAATAGATACGGATGGGTACCGATCATAGCTTTACATTTTGTTTTCACAGACTACTGTCGCCTCACAATGAGGCGGTGACCTCCTATTTGCTCGGAGCCATATCAGCAAGTCCAGATTTGCACGATGTTGATAAAGACGACATTGTGTGTAAGTGACTTGTTTTAATGTTTTCTCCTTCCTTGTTACTATAACTTGCGTTTGATTTTTTTATTCATATCACTCTCATTTGTTTTCCAGCTGCCTGTAAGACGTATTTTCAGAAGGTAGGCTACGCAGGAGCTTCAGATATACGCAGCCAGCCAACACGTTGCGTGCGGAGGCTGCCAAGCAATCTGCTCGGAGTCGGGCCAGAAGAAAGAGGGTAAGACTTTATTTGGTGACTATTTTTCAGGTGCATTGATAGATGTGTTGTGTCCATACGCAGTGCGCTGATTCATTGTTTTTTTTTCAGCTGCTGAAAGCGAGGCAGAGTGTGCTAGCAGATGAGGAAGTGGAACTCTGGAAGTCCGCCACCGTCGGCCTCATGTCCGACGAAGAAGATGGCGTCGTCGGCGGTGTCTCTGGATGGATTGTACGGTCGCCGCCATTTCGTAGGCCGGATCTCACTGAACTCTGTGTTAAGCTGCAGTCCCGGTTAGAAGCGATGCCGAAGTACAGGGCCACGCACAGTAGGCGTCTGCACATCGGACCTGCCTCGGAGGGAATGCTGCCAGTTACCTCCAACCCCGAGGAAGCAAACGGACTGTTCACGGACTTGTAATTTTTAGATACGCATGTGTTTGGATACGCGTTGTATATAGTTGTGTGTGTTTTAATAAAGCTCTTTCTTTGCATAAAAAGCTTCCTGGCAAATGTTCATTTCCTGTATAAATTCATTCATGTCCTTGATGGTAGCATAATAATTGTGTAGTAGTGTAGGATAACATTAATACACAGCATATGAATGAATAAATATATGAATGAATAAATATATATATGTAAATTTATATGTAAATAAATATATATATATATATATGCCAACCAATCACGAGCGACTTTACTTGTTTAAAAAGAAGTGGTTCCATCCAATACTCAGTAAGAAAATTAAAGCCTGGCGTGGCCACGTGTGGTTTTGCTGCCAATCACGAGCGATTTCACTTGTTTGAGAATAGTGGTTTCAGCCAATACCGAGTAGGTTATTCAAGCCAGACCTGGCCAGCCGCTCGGGTTTGCTGCATTCATATGCTAATTAGGGCCATTAGTACAGCTGATCGCTCTCCAAATACGTCAGAGTCCGTTTCCCACAATTTGTGGCACGACAAACGCGGACAAGCGTGGGTTGCAAATTGTCGGAAACTGACGAAAATCAGGGAGATCTGCGGGAGTTTACGGGGGTTTACGGGGACGAAAATGTCACTTTTCATGCAGTGACAAGTAGTTTGAAAAGTTAATTAGGCGTAGCTTTGGGGATGGTAGGACATTGCAGTGGACACATATTTAATGAGAAAAATACAACAGCTGCTGTAAATGTCACTGTTCATTTTTGAGCAGGCTTAAATTTGGCATAACAGATTGACAGTAAATAGCAGAGGGTGGTTTCGGTCCACTGACCTCTGGGTTATGGGCCCAGCACGCTTCGGCTGCGCCACTCTGCTTTCCTCATGAGAAGAGGGAATTGGAAGGCAAAATCAATTACTTAGGGTTTGGCTTTGTTATGCCATAAGTAACAACATTAATCTTGGACATTTTGGAACAAACTCCATGCATATTTTAGCTTTGAGCATCTGTGGATTAAAATATATAGTTTTGCTATGCTGAACCAATCCTCAAGAGTAACATATCCACTCTCCAAAACACATTTCCTTGGGGATACCAGTCTTGACGCCCAACCTTCTGCGGGAAAGAAAAAAAAATGACCACATACTTGCCCATTCTCTATCTCTGTGGGATTCCAGAGGTGCCAACATGGGGGAACACAAAGACAGTTTTTTAAAATGGACCTCCCTCTTCAACTCCAGCTAGAGTGATACAGTTCTGATGCTGAATTCGGAACAAGATTGTTACAAAACAAACTGTAAGATTCTCTCTGAATCTACAGGAGTCTTGTTACTCAGACAACTCAGACTTACAAATGGACGCTAAACTTTATGTTTGGAAAAGGTTTTGAACTTGTGAAAATGTCTCAGAATAACATTGAAGGGATATAATTCAAGACAATACTGCAAAGCAGCTGACAAAAAATAACTTTATAAAAAAATCTTTATTTTTCTCCTTTTTAAACTATGCTCAGAAAATGAGGCCTAAACCCATATGAGCGGCCTTGTTTGAAAAAAACAATGTATTGTAGGACTTTGTTTCAGGTCACTGACTACTGGGTTGTGGGCTGGTTCCAGACAAGCAACCTACTGGATTGCACAGCAGATGGGACTGGAACAAACGATCCCTTGCTCTGGAGGTATATCCATTAGGATGTTGGAGGAACAGATCTCATCAGCCCCTCTTGTGGAGGATATGAGAAAGGTCTGTGCACAAACTCAGTCCCTGTCCCAAAGCAAGCTTTCATGGCCTCGTTGGCGCAGTAGGCAGCGCGTCAGTCTCATAATCTGAAGGTCGTGAGTTCAACCCTCACACGGGGCGTATGTTTTAGCTTTTCCCAGTATTTAACAACATTCTCCACCTAACTTTCTATAATGCAACTTTATCCGCGGCTTTGCAAAATGATGGTTACGTCTTATCAAGTATGGGCTAGTGGCGCTACCTCGCTAGCGTTAGTCTGCATTTCTCATTCAACGAGCTTCGCCCCTCTCCATTCTCACATTGGACGATTGACCAATGGCGCACCAGCTCACAATGGACCGAGCCTATCGGCAGCCGAGCTCACAATGGAACTCCGCCAATCACCGCCACGATATACGGAACCAATCAACGTCCGAGCTTACAATGGATACAGGCCAATCACCGTCACGATTTACGAGCCAATCAATGTCTGAGCTCACAATGGAAGTCGGCCAATCAATGTGAAGCATAACTTGTAGAAAAAAATAGAGAGAGAAAAAAAAGGAACAACTTTCTGATCTTCTTAGAAAATTAAAAAAGAGAGAAAAAAGGTTGCCGATCTTAGAAAATTTAGCTCTCGGTGGCCAACTTTTTTCATCAAGAAAAAACGAACCGTACAGTAAGTATACATTTATATAGTTTATTGTTTCCTTCCATTCAAACAACGTTATTCCCTCTTTATTTCACATTAGCTACGAATAACATAACACAGATTAAGTAAATTAATGGTATTATGATGTCACATTTTCCCTCTTTATTACACATTAGCTAAAGATAATATACTGTAGATTAAATAAATTAATGGTATTATGATGTCACATTTTCCCTCTTTATTACACATGAGCTAAATATAATATACTGTAGATTGAATAAATTAATGGTATTATGTCACATTTTCCCTCTTTATTATGATGTCACATTTTCCCTCTTTATTACACATGAGCTAAATATAATATACTGAGGATTAAATAAATTAATGGTATTATGATGTCACATTTTCCCTCTTTATTACTCATTAGCTAAATATAATATACCATAGATTAAGTAAATTAATGGTATTATGATGTCATGTTCTGTTAGCAAACTGACACAGTTTTAAAAGGTTAAGGTTTACAATATAGTAACTTTTTAATTTAAAATGTCAGTAAAAATGTTTAAATCCTTTCATCTCATACCAATCGATAGCTGTATAAAGTGCATTAATACTGTATTATGTTTGATTCTTCTCTTTTTTTATATTGTCTTCAGATGAGCACCAAGCCAAAGAGCCATAAAGGGATGGGAGATGGGGAGTGGATGGCAAGGCTCAGGGCATTTGCCAGCAGTGGGGTTTGGCCTTCAGATGCTGGAAATAGACCAGCCCCAAGGCAGAAGAAATGGCATGATCTTTATCAGAAGGTGAAGTGAAACCACTGTATAAAATAAATAAATTAATTAATAAAAAAAAGATGCATGAGTAATTGTCATTAATAGGATGATGCTGTAATGTTTCAGATAGAAAAATGCCCCATGCAAGCCCAAGGTCAGACCACCCTTTTTGGAGGGTCTGTGTCGTGTAATTGCAGCTTTCACTCTGCTAAGGTAAACTGGTTTAAAATAACAGCTATGTCTTGTCTTTTACAATTCTGGTGAATGATCTTTTTATACCTAGAATATATATCTTTTTTTAGCCTGCTCTGCAGCATCCTCCTCCTGTGACCCAGCACTCTATGGCTGCACCATCTACTTCTGCTGATACAGCTCCAGCCGCACGGTCTTTCTTGAGGGTCCCTCTGTCTTTGTCCATGGTAAATGTTTTTGTTCCTTTGCTTAATACTTCATAGTATTACATTTGCCTCGTGCAACAAACCATAATAACAGCTTTCAAGCAACATGTTTTTGTGTGTATTTAGATGCTGCGATTCATATTAGATTTATTTTACATTAGTTTATATTTATTATTTCAGTTCACTAAATCCCGTTTTGGTGGGTCTCTGTCAGATTCACTGAAGCCCAACTTGGTGGCCCGGAAAAAACCTAACCCGTCTCAGTCCTCTGTGAGGACCTCTAACCCGTCTCCGTCCTCTGTGAGGACCTCTAACCCGTCTCCGTCCTCTGTGAGGACCTCTACCCCGTCTCCGTCCTCTGTGAGGACCTCTACCCCGTCTCCGTCTTCTGTGAGGACCCCGACTCCGTCTCAGTCCTCTGTGAGGACCTCTAACCCGTCTCCGTCCTCTGTGAGGACCTCTACCCCGTCTCCGTCTTCTGTGAGGACCCCGACTCCGTCTCAGTCCTCTGTGAGGACCACTATCCCGTCTCCGTCTTCTGTGAGAACCTCTACCCCGTCTCCGTCTTCTGTGAGGACCTCTACCCCGTCTCCGTCTTCTGTGAGAACCTCTACCCCGTCTCAGTCCTCTGTGAGGACCTCTATCCCGTCTCCGTCTTCTGTGAGGACCTCTACCCCGTCTCAGTCCTCTGTGAGGACCTCTACCCCATCTCCGTCTACTGTGAGGACCCCGACTCCGTCTCAGTCCTCTGTGAGGACCTCTATCCCGTCTCCGTCTTCTGTGAGAACCTCTACCCCGTCTCAGTACTCTGTGAGGACCTCTACCCCATCTCCGTCTACTGTGAGGACCTCTACCCCGTCTCAGTCCTCTGTGAGGACCTCTACCCCATCTCCGTCTACTGTGAGGACCTCTACTCCGTCTCAGTCCTCTATGAGGACCTCTACCCCATCTCAGTCCTCTGTATGGACCTCTACCCCGTCTCCGTCTTCTGTGAGGACCTCTACCCCGTCTCAGTCCTCTGTGAGGACCTCTACCCCGTCTCTGTCTTCTGTGAGGACCTCTACCCCGTCTCCGTCCTCTGTGAGGACCTCTACCCCGTCTCCGTCTTCTGTGAGGACCCCGACTCCGTCTCAGTCCTCTGTGAGGACCTCTACCCCGTCTCCGTCTTCTGTGAGGACCTCTACCCCGTCTCAGTCCTCTGTGAGGACCTCTAACCCGTCTCCGTCCTCTGTGAGGACCTCTACCCCGTCTCCGTCTTCTGTGAGGACCCCGACTCCGTCTCAGTCCTCTGTGAGGACCTCTACCCCGTCTCCGTCTTCTGTGAGGACCCCGACTCCGTCTCAGTCCTCTGTGAGGACCTCTAACCCGTCTCCGTCCTCTGTGAGGACCTCTAACCCGTCTCCGTCCTCTGTGAGGACCTCTACCCCGTCTCCGTCTTCTGTGAGGACCCCGACTCCGTCTCAGTCCTCTGTGAGGACCTCTACCCCGTCTCCGTCTTCTGTGAGGACCTCTACCCCATCTCAGTCCTCTGTGAGGACCTCTACCCCGTCTCTGTCTTCTGTGAGGACCTCTACCCCGTCTCAGTCCTCTGTGAGGACCTCTACCCCGTCTCTGTCTTCTGTGAGGACCTCTACCCCGACTCTGTGTTCTGTGAGGACCTCTAGCCCTTCTCCATCCTCCGTGAGGACGCCTATCCTGTCTCCATCCTCTGAAATAAGCCCTAGTCCCTCTCCATCTTCTGAGAGCAGCCTGAGTCCCTCTTTATCTGCTGTGAGGAGCCCTAGCATCGCTTCATCCTCTGGGATCCCAGCACACACCTGCGAGACAGTTTCATCTGTAAATACAAGAGTTTTTCTTCATGAAAGTCATGGAATCATAGGTCCAATTATTAAGATATATTTATGCAGATTTCCAAATCTCTTGTGTTGTTTTCAGGGGGAGTCTGGAATGTCCCTGCTACAGTCAGCAGCAGCGGGGGATGCAGCTAATTTCTGGTTGCCAAGTGAGATGAGGAAAACCATACCTGTGCAAGATCAAAGATGGATTTCTAATACCCTCTTTGGCTCTGGAAAACTGCGACCAGATTTGAAGCTCTGGTATAACCCCCCTGTGCCAGCCCTGATCTACCACCAGATACCAACACCTGATCGTTTTTTTTCCCATCGGCTTATGGTGTGGATGCCGTACCATCAGTGGAAGGTCCGGGTGTTCTGCCGAGGTTGTGGGAAGCATCTTACAGGTGCTGGTATCCACAAAAGGGCTCGGAAGGTCCTGGATATTGATAGGTTTTACCTGCTTGTGACAGAGACACTCAGGTGCAGTGGGTGCAATCTCACATACATATCAACGTCCCAGACCATCCGGGAACAGCTGGACTTGCCACACCAAAAGCTGTTTCGGCTCATCCTGACCCAGAAGTAAGTAAAACATTTTGTTTGGTAACTTCAGGCATAAGATACTGGAGTTTGTAAATTCCTCTCAGGCATAAATAAAGTAGTTTTGCACTTAGTACAAAATAAAAAGATCTGTAAATGTTACTACAAACTAAATGCTTTATTAATCTAAATTCCAGGTATGCCTGTGACATACGTGTCATTCGCCTGATGCGGGATAGGACTCAGGGGAACAGCTCTGCACGGCTGCTGAAACAACTAAAAGAAAATCATGGGGAGGAATGGCTGGATAGGTTGGGGCATTATTTTGAAGAGTGCTCTAACTTTGTTAATCGGCCAAGCCTGTTCCCAGTTGTGTGCCAGGAGCCCCCAGAGCCCGCTGATGTCCCCACTGATCGCTGGTTGCTGTCTGTGTATGGCAGAGACATCTTGTCACGCATTGACCACATCAAAGCCAGTCTCACATCCACAGTAGGCACCATATTAAAGATGGATTCCTCCAAAAAGGTTAGTAATAATATAATGAAAATAGCATTTATTATTATTACCAGCATTACTACTATTATTCTATTCTCCTTAATAAACGTCCTTGTAATGAGATTTAACATCACATTTTTAATTGTAGATCACAAAGAAGCTGGCAGGACACAGCAAAGGAACGGCTCTGTGGGTGTCTTCTGTGGGCAATGAGCTGGGCCAGATCTTAAATAGTGTGGTAACTGTGCAGGAGGGTCCAGGTCTTGACAGGATGGCTGCTGGCCTGATGGAGCGGTACCGCCAGGCTGGGGTTGCACCTCCTAAGGTCCTATATGTTGACTGTGGCTGCTGTGTGACTGATGGGCTGAGCAAGCTGCAGGCAAGGTTTGGAGAGTGGCCAGATCTCCACATTCGACTTGATATTTGGCATTTCATGCAACGTCTGACTGTGGGATGTACTACAGATGCTCATCCCCTTTATCCTGCTTTCATGAGAGCCCTGTCCTCGTGCATCTTTGAGTGGGATGCAGGGGATCTTGACCTCCTCCGGAGAGCAAAAACAAAGCAGCTCCAACAAGAACAGAGACCTGGTATAACCAGCAGCATGGTGGACAGCCAAATAACCAAAAACGAGCTGAGTACTTACTGCCGTAGGAGGACTCGGGGAGAGGAAGCAACACTTCTACATATAGAACGGCTGCTGGAGGAGCTGAGGGGTCCAAAAGGGAGAGACTTGATGGGCGTCCCTCTGCTGGATGAAGTGAGGATGGATCACATCTGGCATGTGCAAAAACGACACATAAAATGCATCCAAGATGTTCCAGGGATTCAGTTGTACACTGAAGTAGGAAGTATGAACAAAAATGGCATCAAGCTCACCAGCTACCGCTGTGCCGGAGGATCAACATCTCTGGAGTCTTTCCATTGCCATTTGAACAGGTTTATTCCTGGTAAGTCCTCTTCACCACAGTTACACAGCTGAACTGTATTTGCTATCGAAACTGAATTAACTAGCCATAGTTTAAATCCACAAATATCTTGATTTTGGTTTTGTTCTTTTTTTTTGTTTTTTTTTTCAGGAACAAGCGCAAATCTGCTGAATTTCCAGCTGTATATTCTGGAAGGCCTTAACAGGTGGAATCAGGATCGGGGCACTGCAGCAGTGAGCAGCAAGCCATCGTGTCTTCTCACATATGCTGGAGACATGACACAGTGCATTAATAAGAACAGCCTGAAGGTACTTGGAAGAGAGTACGTTCCAAACTTCACACCTCCAGCAAAATACACAGGTATTTTAATTTAATATATATGCAAAGGAAAAAAACAGTTAAACTATTGTATCACTAAGTCACTAATATGTTTAAAGAGTGAATAAGGGTTTTGCTATCTGTGTTCATTAATTTTCCACAGGTGAGCTGCTGGGTGTTGACTACCTGTTAAGTCAAACGGGCAAGCCTCTAAAACCACAGCCTGACTCAGAGGAGACTGATGGGCTTCTAGAAGAAGTGGATCCAACTGAAGGGGAGGAAGATGAAGGCTTCATGGATGAGGATGATTTGGACTTAGTGGTACCAGGACTTCAAGATGGTGTCCTTCTCTCTGCGACCTCACAACTTGAAACCTTCACCCAGCATGCTTCCACATCCACTCAGCCTGCTTCCACATCCACTCAGCCTGCTTCCACCTCCACTCAGCCTGCTTCCACATCCACCCAGCCTGCTTCCACATCCACCCAGCATGCTTCCACCTCGACTCAGCCTGCTTCCACATCCACCCAGCCTGCTTCCACATCCACCCAGCCTGCTTCCACATCCACCCAGCCTGCTTCCACATCCACTCAGCCTGCTTCCACCTCCACTCAGCCTGCTTCCACATCCACCCAGCATGCTTCCACCTCCACTCAGCCTGCTTCCACCTCGACTCAGCCTGCTTCCACATCCACCCAGCCTGCTTCCACATCCACCCAGCATGCTTCCACATCCACTCAGCCTGCTTCCACCTCCACTCAGCCTGCTTCCACATCCACCCAGCATGCTTCCACCTCCACTCAGCCTGCTTCCACATCCACCCAGCCTGCTTCCACATCCACCCAGCATGCTTCCACATCCACTCAGCCTGCTTCCACCTCCACTCAGCCTGCTTCCACATCCACCCAGCCTGCTTCCACATCCACCCAGCATGCTTCCACCTCCACTCAGCCTGCTTCCACATCCACCCAGCATGCTTCCACATCCACTCAGCCTGCTTCCACCTCGGCTCAGCCTGCTTCCACATCCACCCAGCATGCTTCCACATCCACTCAGCCTGCTTCCACCTCCACTCAGCCTGCTTCCACATCCACCCAGCATGCTTCCACATCCACTCAGCCTGCTTCCACCTCGACTCAGCCTGCTTCCACATCCACCCAGCCTGCTTCCACATCCACCCAGCATGCTTCCACATCCACTCAGCCTGCTTCCACCTCCACTCAGCCTGCTTCCACCTCCACTCAGCCTGCTTCCACATCCACTCAGCCTGCTTCCACATCCACTCAGCCTGCTTCCACATCCACTCAGCCTGCTTCCACCTCCACCCAGCCTGCTTCCACATCCACTCAGCCTGCTTCCACCTCCACCCAGCATGCTTCCACATCCACTCAGCCTGCTTCCACCTCGACTCAGCCTGCTTCCACATCCACCCAGCCTGCTTCCACATCCACCCAGCCTGCTTCCACCTCCACTCAGCCTGCTTCCACCTCCACTCAGCCTGCTTCCACATCCACCCAGCCTGCTTCCACCTCCACTCAGCCTGATTCCACATCCACCCAGCACGCTTCCACATCCACTCAGCCTGCTTCCACCTCGACTCAGCCTGCTTCCACATCCACCCAGCCTGCTTCCACATCCACCCAGCATGCTTCCACATCCACTCAGCCTGCTTCCACCTCGACTCAGCCTGCTTCCACCTCCACTCAGCCTGCTTCCACATCCACCCAGCATGCTTCCACATCCACTCAGCCTGCTTCCACCTCGACTCAGCCTGCTTCCACCTCCACTCAGCCTGCTTCCACATCCACTCAGCCTGCTTCCACATCCACCCAGCATGCTTCCACATCCACTCAGCCTGCTTCCACCTCGACTCAGCCTGCTTCCACATCCACCCAGCCTGCTTCCACATCCACTCAGCCTGCTTCCACCTCGACTCAGCCTGCTTCCACATCCACCCAGCCTGCTTCCACATCCACCCAGGCTGCTTCCACATCCACCCAGCCTGCTTCCACCTCCACTCAGCCTGCTTCCACATCCACTCAGCCTGCTTCCACATCCACTCAGCCTACTTCCACATCCACTCAGCCTGCTTCCACCTCCACTCAGCCTGCTTCCACATCCACCCAGCATGCTTCCACCTCCACTCAGCCTGCTTCCACATCCACCCAGCATGCTTCCACATCCACTCAGCCTGCTTCCACCTCGACTCAGCCTGCTTCCACATCCACCCAGCCTGCTTCCACATCCACCCAGCCTGCTTCCACCTCCACCCAGCATGCTTCCACATCCACTCAGCCTGCTTCCACCTCGACTCAGCCTGCTTCCACATCCACCCAGCATGCTTCCACATCCACCCAGCCTGCTTCCACATCCACCCAGCCTGCTTCCACCTCCACTCAGCCTGCTTCCACATCCACCCAGCATGCTTCCACATCCACTCAGCCTGCTTCCACATCCACTCAGCCTGCTTCCACATCCACCCAGCCTGCTTCCACATCCACCCAGCCTGCTTCCACATACACCCAGCATGCTTCCACCTCCACTCAGCCTGCTTCCACATCCACTCAGCCTGCTTCCACCTCCACTCAGCCTGCTTCCACATCCACCCAGCATGCTTCCACATCCACTCAGCCTGCTTCCACCTCGACTCAGCCTGCTTCCACATCCACCCAGCATGCTTCCACATCCACTCAGCCTGCTTCCACCTCCACTCAGCCTGCTTCCACATCCACCCAGCATGCTTCCACATCCACTCAGCCTGCTTCCACCTCGACTCAGCCTGCTTCCACATCCACCCAGCCTGCTTCCACATCCACCCAGCATGCTTCCACATCCACTCAGCCTGCTTCCACCTCGACTCAGCCTGCTTCCACATCCACCCAGCCTGCTTCCACATCCACCCAGCCTGCTTCCACATCCACTCAGCCTGCTTCCACATCCACTCAGCCTACTTCCACATCCACTCAGCCTGCTTCCACCTCCACTCAGCCTGCTTCCACATCCACCCAGCATGCTTCCACCTCCACTCAGCCTGCTTCCACCTCCACCCAGCCTGCTGCCACTTCACAGGTTTTAACCTCCACCTAGTCTGCCATAGCTTGCAATATGCCATAGTTTTGAATAAATGGTAAACTGTAGAACAGTAGATAAATAAAACCACCATAGCCCCATCTGCTCAATGGCCAGACTGCTGCCGCCTGGTTGAGACCATATTCGTTCGCCTTTGCAATATCCATCGTAGTCCGAAAAAAAAAGGGACTAGCACAGTCTCAAGATGGGATCTGATTCTTCAGGACTACAGAAAAATCAGACAGCTAATTTTAGCAAATGGAGATGTCATGCAACAGACTACATTGCAGCTGGTGGATGTGAGCTACACCACCCTGGTTCAGTGGCATAATAAAAGGGTCAAAAGGCAAGAAACAGCTGTAGTGCAACAAGGGATTAACTTTCCTAGCCGGTTTTCTATAGCCAGCGAACCACTTCTCCCCGCCAATATACGTCCCCATTATGCCATACCTCATTCAGCACCAATGCATCTGTACAGTCTACCAGCTAACACTGTGGGACAGGCAAAATTAAAAAGAAAGCTGCAGTTTACAGATGGCAAAAATCCATCACAACAGCGGCAGCTTCTCCCTGCTCCACCCAAAAGGCCTCAACTAATGACAGTTGCTCTGGTGGCCACACAGAGACATATTATCCCCTCGGCTTTAAGAGAACACAGTTTTTGGACATTCTCTGTCACTCCTCCACATGTGTTTCCTGCGGCTCCTGTTCTGGGCCCTCCTCTGGCCCCTGCTGCAGCTCCTGTTCTGGGCCCTCCTCTGGCCCCTGCTGCAGCTCCTATTCTGGGCCCTCCTCTGGCCCCTGCTGCAGCTCCTGTTCTGGGCCCTCCTCTGGCCCCTACTGCGGCTCCTATTCTGGGCCCTCTGGCCCCTGCTGCGGCTCCTGTTCTGGGCCCTCCTCTGGCCCCTGCTGCGGCTCCTGTTCTGGGCCCTCCTCTGGCCCCTGTTGCAGCTCCTGTTCTGGGCCCTCCTCTGGCCCCTGCTGCAGCTCCTGTTCTGGGCCCTCCTCTGGCCCCTGCTGCGGCTCCTATTCTGGGCCCTCCTCTGGCCCCTGCTGCGGCTCCTGTTCTGGGCCCTCCTCTGGCCCCTGCTGCGGCTCCTGTTCTGGGCCCTCCTCTGGCCCCTGCTGCGGCTCCTATTCTGGGCCCTCCTCTGGCCCCTGCTGCGGCTCCTATTCTGGGCCCTCTGGCCCCTGCTGCGGCTCCTGTTCTGGGCCCTCCTCTGGCCCCTGCTGCGGCTCCTATTCTGGGCCCTCCTCTGGCCCCTGCTGCGGCTCCTATTCTGGGCCCTCCTCTGGCCCCTGCTGCGGCTCCTGTTCTGGGCCCTCCTCTGGCCCCTGCTGCGGCTCCTATTCTGGGCCCTCCTCTGGCCCCTGCTGCGGCTCCTATTCTGGGCCCTCCTCTGGCCCCTTCTCCAGCTCCAGGAACAGCCTCCACTCTTCCTAAGAGAGCAGCCCGAAAACTGACCCGCAAAGTTCTGCATAACATCTGCAAAAAATGCGGGCAGTTTAGAATTATTGAGACAGGGCATAGCCAATATAGAGGGCAAATATACTGCCCATCTAGTGAGACTCTAACCAAAGAGCAATGGCTAGAGCAAATTAAAAAGAAAATATAAGTGTGTTTGTTATTATAGCATTTAAATAGCCTTTTACTTTTTGTTTTAATTGTACAGTACATAGTTAGTGCTTTTTCAGAGCTGACAATATTTTTTTCACAGAGAATTAAGAAAATATAAGTGTGTTCAGTTTAATAGCATTTACACGTTTTTTTTATTTGTACATAGTGCTGTTTCAGAGCTGATAATCTTTTAATTTGTTTAACAGAGTTATTTATTTAATTTGGGTCATTTTTATTGCAATTTGTTTGTTATTGTCTTTCATTGTTGGAAAATATTCGGTTCTTTAAGACATAATGTGTATGGTCTTCTACGTTCTATCACTCAATTCACTATGAAAGTGCTTTAGGAAACACTGCATGAAAAGTGAGATTTTCGTCCCCGTAAACCCCCGTAAACTCCCGCAGATCTCCCTGATTTTCGTCAGTTTCCGACAATTTGCAACCCGTGCTTGTCCGCGTTTGTCGTGCCATAATTGTGGGAAACGTACCATGACGTATGTGGAGAGCGATCAGCTGTACTAATGGCCCTAATTAGCATATGAATGCAGCAAACCCGCGCGGCTGGCCAGGTCTGGCTTGAATAACCTTCTCAGTATTGGCTGAAACCACTATTCTCAAACAAATGAAATCGCTCCTGATTGGCAGCAAAAGCACACGTGGCCACGCCAGGCTTTAATTTTCTTACTGAGTATTGGACGGAACCACTTCTTTTTAAACAAGTAAAGTCGCTCGTGATTGGTTGGCATATATATATATATTTACATATTAATTTACACATACAAATATTTATGTATATATATTTATTCATTCATATATTTATCATTCATATGGTATGTATTTATGTTATCCTACACTACTACACAATTATTATGCTACCATCAAGGACATGAATGAATTTATACAGGAAATGAACATTTGCCAGGAAGCTGTTTATGCAAAGAAAGAGCTTTATTAAAACACACACAACTATATACAACGCATATCCAAACACATGCGTATCTAAAAATTAAAACTCCGTGAACGGTCCGTTTGCTTCCTCGGGGTTGGAGGTAACTGGCAGCATTCCCTCCGAGGCAGGTCCGATGTGCAGACGCCTACTGTGCGTGGCCCTGTACTTCGGCATCGCTTCTAACCGGGACGGCAGCTTAACACAGAGTTCAGTGAGATCCGGCCTACGAAAGGGCGGCGACCGTACAATCCATCCAGAGACACCGCCAACGACGTCATCTTCTTCGCCGGACATGAGGCCGACGGTGGCGGACTTCCAGAGTTCCACTTCCTCATCTGCTAGCACACTCTGCCTCGCTTTCAGCAGCTGAAAAAAAAACAATGAATCAGCGCACTGCATATGGACACAACACATCTATCAATGCACCTGAAAAATAGTCACCAAATAAAGTCTTACCCTCTTTCTTCTGGCCCGACTCCGAGCAGATTGCTTGGCAGCCTCCCCCCGCAGCGTGTTGGCTGGCTGCGTATATCTGAAGCTCCTGCGTACCGTCTCAAAATACGTCTTACAGGCAGCTGGAAAACAAATAAATGAGAGTGATATGAATAAAAAATCAAACGCAAGTCACAGTAACAAGGAAGGAGAAAACATTAAAACAAGTCACTTACACACAATGTCGTCTTTATCAACATCGTGCAAATCTGGACTTGCTGATATGGCTCCGAGCAAATAGGAGGTCACCAGTGTTGGGAATAACGGCGTTGAAATAAACGGCGTTACTAACGCCGTTACTTTTTTCAGTAACGAGTAATCTAACTAATTACTTTGACTGTCACTATAACGCCGTTATCATTGCCGACACCCCGTTACTGCCCCGTTACTGTACGTTACTGAAGTCGCACAATGAACTTTTTTTCACTTCATGATAGGACTTGTTTGCATGTTGTCATGAGAGAAGGGAGAATGAGATAACCTCTCAGCAATTATTGGCTGATGTACAGTGAGATGACGTCTTCAGCCAATCACAGAAATTGGGCAGGTGGGTGTTTCCGCATTCACATAGGTGGGTGCTTAGTGCTTACAGCCACACACACACAGAGAGAGAGATGGCGAGTGAGGAGCACTCCAGCTGCCAAACAGCCTTTTCCAGATGGAAATATCAGCACTATTTTAAACTAACTGAGGTTAAAGGTAAAAATGTACACGTCGAGTGCAAATTATGTCCCAGAGCGAAATATTTGTCCACGTCTTCTGTTAGCAACTCCAACTTAATGAAGCATCTGTCGACGGCTCACGCTTCAACCAAACTAGTGGCCCAAGAATACACAGGTAGTAGGCGGGCTAGTGTTTACAACGGATCCGCTAACAAGGAAGGACCCTCCCCATGCAAGCAACAAAAACTTGAATTTAGTGCCTCTGCTCCCCAGAAACTATCTCAGACAGAGCTCTATGGCTTGATTGGGAGATACGTTGTGGAAAACATGCTTCCGATATCAACAGTGGAGTCGGACTCCTTCAGGGCGTTGATAGGCAAAATCCCAAGAAAAGGAGGCGTTGGTCCGCCCTGTAGAAAGACGTTTTCGAATTACATTGACACCGAATATGCTAACATGAATGCTGAGCTAAAAAAAGAATTCGAGCAACTGGAATACTTGGCTACAACTGCAGATATATGGACAGCACATAACAAAAGCTACCTAGGCGTAACTGCACACTGGATGCATCCAGTAAACATGCAACGAAAAAAAGCGGCCCTGGCATGCCGACGGTTTAAGGGCCGTCATACCCACGAGAGCATTGCCACAGAACTTGATAACATCCACTCGTCTTATGGCATTTCGCACAAAATAACGGCAACTATCACTGATAATGGCTCGAATTTCGTTAAGGCATTTAAGAAATATCAGCCACAACCAGTTGACGAGGATGATGACTGTTGATGAGGAAGGTGAAGAGGTTACTTTTGTTGACATAAATGATGTCTTGCAAGCCCGTGTTGATGAGGATGAGGATGTGATTAATTTACCACCACACTACAGGTGTGCATCACACACACTGAACCTTGTGTCATGTTCTGACATTGAAAAGTGGATTCTCTCCAGACCAGAGAAGGCACTTTACAGAAGTGCAACTGCAAAATGCACAGCCTTGTGGAATAAGGCCAGCCGTTCCACAGTGGCTGCAGAGACAGTAGAGGATGTGGTTGCAAAGAGGCTGATAGTGCCTTGCAGTACCAGATGGAATTCTTTCTATGATGCTCTAGCTAGGATTTGCGAGATTCCCTTAGTGGACCTCATTACCATCTCATCCAAGTTTGGCTCAAAAGCAATCACAGAAAAAGAGCATCAGCTCCTGAAGGAATATTGCATCGCAATGAAGCCATTGACAGTCGCCCTAGATATCCTCCAGGGAGAGGACAACTGCTACCTCGGCACACTGCTACCTACCCTGGAGACCTTGATGATGAAAACCATCAAGCTGAAGAGTGGGCTTCAAATACTTGTGGACCTTCCAGAAGCAATTGTGGAGGTAAGAACTACATATGTCTATTTTTTTTAAATTGTGTATAATGTGTATAATAGTATAGATTGTATATAATTATAATACATATGTATAATTGTTTAGTGTATTATATATTGTACTCAAAGTGTGTGTGTGTGTGTGTGTGTGTGTGAGTGTGTGTGCGTGTGTGAGTGACAGTGGGTGAGAGAGAGTTTGTATTTGTATAGAGACAGTCAGTAATGTGTTCTTTGCTTTATGTCAGGGGTGTCAAACATGCGGCCCGCGGGCCGGTTCCGGCCCGCCGAATGATTTAGTCCAGCCCGGTGGCTAAATGCATTATCATTATTCAAATTTTTTATTTTTTTTTGGAATGCCAATAAAAATGCAACCCTGCATCAGAACTAACGGCAGCAATGAGCTTCAGATGTGGAGAATTTATTTTAAATATTTTCATAATTTGTATCTGTTTGATGTATTTTTCATGCAGGACAGTGTTTTTAATTTCCAAAAAATCTGAATAAATGTTTTTCAACATCAATCACTGTGATCAGCTCACACGCATAATGCACTTAAATAAATGTTTAACTGAGTAAAAGTATTGTTGAAATTGCACATACTTGCACATATTTCTTAAAAACGCTGAGGTTATTCATAACATATTGTCTAAAAGTTAAATTCATTTAATATAAAAACCAACAAGTCCCCTTATTACTAGTTATTAATTACTTATTATTAATTCTATTTAATCTTGCAATGAGTTTACTTGTGTGGCCCCCTTGAGATAAGATTAAGCTGCATGCGGCCCCTAAACCACAATGAGTTTTACACCCTTGCTTTATGTCATTTCAGGCAATAAAAACAAGATTTGCAGAGGTGCTGGACAGTGACAGCGCTCTCCTGGCTGCTGTGACTCTGCCCAGGTTCAAGTTACGTTGGCTGCGAACCCAAGAAAGAAAGGACAAGGCCAAAGCAGAGCTGCTGGCGGTATGTCGTGCAAGTGTAAGAAGTGAAGACCAGCATAAAGGTACAAACACCACCACACCCACATGTACCAGCTCAACTGTTGAAGATGCATTCTTCTCCTTTGATGAAGAGGATGACGCTACTGCAGAAAGTCAAGTGGCAGATTATTTTAAATCAGGAGCTCAAGAGATTGACTCACTTCATGGATTTCCCCTTATAAAGAGAATTTCCCTGAAGTATAATGCTGCCACTCCATCCAGTGCTCCGGTGGAGAGACTTTTTAGCCTGGGGAAGCTGGTTTTCACACCAAAAAGGAACAGACTCTCTGACCACAAGTTTGAGAAGCTTCTTCTCTTGCGATACAACCGCTGGTTTCAGGGCTAAAACGTTGACATGACTGGGCTGGGTGGATGGATGGAGAGAGGAATGCATTCATGTTTAGAGTTGGATTTGACAAACCCATGAACGTTTCCAGTTCAATTTGCACTCCTGTAAGCTGTTTACTTTCTTTAAGAAAAAAAATTGGAGCACTTTATATTCATCTGTTGTGTACTAGTTCTGGTAAGTTAGAGTTGCATTAAGTGGAAGTTTGTGCAGGTAACCGTCTTTGCTGTTGGTGAGACAACTGGGTTGGCTGTGTGGATAAATGATTGTACAAATGCAAAATGAACTGATGCATTTATGCACTTTAAATTGGATTGAAGAAATCCGTATATATTTTCAGTTCAGTTCAAAGCCTCTGTTAGATGGTGTATTTCTCTTTTTTTATATATATTTTGAGAAGTGTATGTCCATCCGCTGTTGTTTATGTTGAGTTGCAATAAATGCAAACCTCTGTGCAGGCACTTGCCTTTGTTGTTTCACATCTAGCTTATGAAACAAGCCTTGAGAAGGTGGGGGGGGGGTATGGGAGAGAGAGACGAAAAAGTAACGTAATAGTTACTTTTACTGGTAACTAGTTACTTTTATAGTGGAGTAACTCAGTTAGTAACTCAGTTACTTTTTGGGAGAAGTAACTGGTAACTATAACTAATTACTTTTTTAAAGTAACGTGCCCAACACTGGAGGTCACCGCCTCATTGTGAGGCGACAGTAGTCTGTGAAAACAAAATGTACAGCTATGATTGGTATCCATCCGTATCCATTTCCTTTTACCGCAGAATGAAAGCATATTCTTTAAATCTTACCCTTGCTCCGGTTCATAGCGCCTGCAATTAGTCTCCGAGTTGTGAAGACGGCGTACTGCTTCCTGTGAATCACAAAAAATACACTTTAATAAAGCTTGTTCTTGCAAGGCTACTATTAGCCGTAGCTTTAGGCTAGGCTGCTATTAGCCGTAGCTTTAGGCTAGGCTGCTATTAGCCGTAGCATTAGGCTAGGCTGCTATTAGCCGTAGCTTAGGCTAGGCTGCTTTTAGCTTAGCAGGCAGTAATCGAACATATATTTACCGCTAGCTTCTCTTCTTTGAGTTCGTCTTGTTCGATGCAGAGTCGCCATCGCATCCAAGAGGAGTTTTATACGGTGGCCCTGAGGTGCAAAACACAACATAAAAAGAGAAAACACAACGGCAAATCAGAAAACACAACACAAAAAGAGAAAACACAACACAAAAAGAGAAAACACAACGGCAAATCAGAAAACACAACACAAAAAGAGAAAACACAACACAAAAAGAGAAAACACAACACAAAAAGAGAAAACACAACACAAAAAGAAAAAACACAACACAAAAAGAGAAAACACAACACAAAAAGAGAAAACACAACACAAAAAGAAAAAACACAACACAAAAAGAGAAAACACAACACAAAAAGAAAAAACACAACACAAAAAGAGAAAACACAACACAAAAAAAGAAAACACAGCGACATTAACCAAAACGGAAATGCTAGGTACCCTCGGGCGACAGGAATCATCGCTGATTGGACAAAAGAACTGGTCCGTCCTTTGAACCGGAAACACGGGGTTTGTTTCCATTTTTCCAAATCATGAGCGCCACAAATGATGAGGTACACGCTGCTATTAAGCAATACTTTGATACCGGACATGAATATGACGTGATACTGGATATGCTGTCGACATTTCACAACGTAAACGTGAGTCTGCGTACGCTGAAGACGCGTTTAAAAGAAGCAGGGCTGTACAGAAGACACAACTATTCCCCACTCCTTGAGGTGAGGCGTGCCATTCTGACAGAGCTGGAAGGACCAGGGGAACTCTTCGGTTATCGGACTATGTGGCAAGTTCTCCAACAAAAGCACAGGCTTCGCGTTAAACGTGATGTAGTAATGAGGCTACTGAAACAGCTGAATCCACGAGGGACGGCTTTGAGAACACGCAGGAGGTTTACAAGACGCACATATCACTCCATGGGTCCAAACTACATACGGCATGTAGATGGATATGATAAACTAAAACCATTTGGCCTGGCACTCTCAGGATGTATTGATGGCTTTTCGAGAAAAATAATGTGGCTTGTTTGTGGACCAACGAACAATAATCCATCTGTCATTGCTCACAATTATATTAATTGTGTCAAGAGTATCGGTGTGGTTCCAATGAGATTGAGAACTGACCTCGGAACAGAAAATGGGACCATGGCAGCAATACAATGTACCCTCCGTCACGCGCATATGGACCACTATGCCGGCTCGTCTAGCCACAGTTACGGCTCATCAACATCGAATCAGCGCATCGAGTCATGGTGGTCTTTTTTCAGAAGAGGGAGGTTGGTACATCTGTGTTGTTTGATGGATGAAAAGTACAGTGGAAGCTGTATAGTGATGACCTTTGTCTCTATTACACTGATCAGTGTTAAAGTGTTATTAAAATCTCCGTATTTGTCATTGATTATTATTAGTGTTCTTGTTTAACTCAGGCCACTTAAACACTAAGTGATAGCCTAATACTGAACATGGGAAGCCATATTTTTCCCAAAGTTATTGAATCACTACTGTTATAATAATCATATGATATACATTATTTCTCTGTGATGCTTTTGTTAAGATGTATCCACATTTAAACGGTGTTATTTGTATGTAAGCCTCTTTGAGTACTTGTAAAAGCGCATTATAAATAACAATGTTTTATCTATTATAATGCATCCCCAGGTCTCAGTTTTGGATGGACTTGTTTGGAGACCTAAGAGACTCTGGAAACTTCAATGGCAGCCACGAACACCAGTGCTTACTGAGATTTTGCTTCAGTAATGTTCTGCAGCAATACCTGGATGAATGTATGGACCTATGGAACAAGCACCGAATCCGACCAAGCAGACATGCATCATGTCCAGGAGGGATTCCGAATGAACTGTATCTCTTGCCTTACAGGTAGTAATGATCATATACATTACAAAAAATGCAAGGTGTTGTGGTATAGCCTAAACTGGGATATATTTGGACAATTGTACATGTTGGTATAATCCATTGTTGAATTTAGAAGCAATCTGTCTCTACCATTGTTTAGAAATATCTGTATATCAACAAGCAAACAAATCTAACAATGATCATTTCAAACCTTCTCCTTTATATCATTGTATCATCTAATTTTGCAGATTTGGTTCAAGGGACTGTGGATTTGCTGTTGAAGACAGGGAACTGGATGTGTTTCCTGAGGCAAGGCAAGTGATTGATTTAAGCGGTGATCCAGACATAGAGGAATACCTACAACAGGAAGTGGAACAACACGGACTACAACAGCCACAAGACTGGAAGACAGCCTCAGAACTGTACATCACTCTGAAGGAAATAGCTGGGCTATAGATATGGACTATTGGAACCCGTTTCTACCTTTTTAGGTATCCCACATTAACATGGACGTATTAAGACCATATTTTCCTTATTTAGTATTTTGCTTTAATGCATCTTAATGCTTATCAGTAAATGACTGGTGGACTATACACGCCTAAGTTTTGAAAATTACTTCCCATTCATAAATGTGATCCAACATTTACAAATTGCTTCAAGAGATAAATAACAGGATAATATAGGCCTACCAAAAATGTTTGTTTTGAATTTTCAGATTTGGCAACTTGAACTGTGGGACTGAAATGGAGACATTTTACACTTAAAGTTGTATTTATTTTCTGATTCAATTTTCATGTAAACAACAATTACTTACAAAAAGCATTTGTACTGATTTCTTTTTTTTTTTCTTTAAACATATGTAGAGCTGTAAAAAACAGGAAACAGCAATAACAAACAAAAATCAGGACACCACCCTGAGATTTTAATGCTATGCAAGTAGCTAACTGCACAGATTTGAACATTGTAAGAAGCACTCACTGGTTTTACTTTACCTTATCTTAACTTTAGTTTAATGCATGTCATGTCCCAAATGGCCTTTTAACAAGAGAGGCAGTACAGTAACTGATGCAAACAAGCAGACATGACCTTGTAAAGCATTATTCTGAACAGAGAGTTGATAAAAATAAGATTAAAATAAAAAATAAAAAAAACAGCCTAAATCAAGCCACAGCTCAAACCACTTTTAATAAAAGTGATTATGCATAAAAGTCCTTTTGGCAACTAAAAACACCCAAAGCCTGGTGCATTTTTGATGCCAAACTCCATATTCTTCCTAAAGACACTGTAGGAGTCGAGTAGTGGGAGCTTGAGTGTGTTCGAACACGTGGTTGCCATTGGAAACGGTGAGTCATTTAAAAACCCTATACTTGGACGGGGTGTTATTCCTGCTGGTGGCAGTGCTGACAAGCCAGTGGCAAACATCAGCACATCTGGGAGGGACAGAGATATCACTCCATCTAAAAAGAGAAAGTCAACATTGTAGTAGTGCATTGCTTGACACGGCATTATCTAAAAACATAGTTACTCAATAGCTTTTTTTTTTTTCATTTCATTGAAGAAGATAAAAATTACAAATATGAACGCACTATACAATTCATATACTGTACAGTCGTGGAAAAAAATAAGAGACCACTTGAAAACGATGAGTTTCTCTGATTTTACTATTTAAGGTAGGTGTTTGAGTGAAATGAACATTTCTGTTTTATTCTATTAACTACTGACAACATTTCTCCCAAAAATGTAATGAAAATACTGTAATTTAGGGCATTTATTGGCAGAAAATGACAACTAGTGTAATGGTAAATTTGAATCTGTCTATGGTTCAATCACTTGAGATGTCCCTACACCATGCTTTTCCCCAAAGGTATAAGATCTCCTTTTGTATGCTGACCATTTGTGTATGTTCATGTCTAGACCTCTTAACTTCCCACCTACTTCCCATGCTCTTAACTTCCCACCGAGACACAAAACCCTGCAGGATGCCCCAGGTGTGAAACACACCCTTGGGGGTCGGTGCCAATACCTGCAACAGACAAAAGGGTGTAAAAAACACTCTCTGGGGAAGGGGCCGACCCCTGCAGCAGACAAAGGGATGTGAAACATATTTTATTTATTTTTCCTCTCCTCAGGTATAAATGTTTAGGTCTCCCCAATCTCAGAGTCTTTCCTTTACCATCACCGCTCAGGTGAGGACTGACCTTTCCTTGCAAGGATATAAAAACTTGTCGGCCGGCAGAATTATTGTTATTATTCAGCAACACAACACAATATGAGTATTATAACTTATGCGTTAATACATCAGATTTAGTGGGATGATGTCAATGTTTAATCCCAGCAGTGGTTTTTATAATCTTCCTATAAAAACAGATGTGTTTCAGACGATCACTTAATCAGTGTCTCAATTAATTGTTTGTGTTGGTATTTTTAAAAAAAAGATGCTTTTAAAGAAACATTTGTAAAAGTGGTCTCTTAATGTTTTCCGCGACTGTATATCTAACAAAATAGCCATGACAAACCTTCACATTCCAGTAGAAAATCAGCCCAAAAGCCGATAACTTTGGTCTCTCTCTGCCACCTGTTGCTTCCCCTTGTGCTGAAGTCTGGGATGAACAGACGTTCTATTTCTGCAGCAGTCAGGGCCTTGGCAGAATAGCACAGGAGAGGAGCCAGCACACCAGGATGCTTCTGCACTGAAGCCAAAAACTCCAGACTAGCCAGTCCGTCTTTGAATCTATTAAGGACAATTATTTTGTAAGACATAGGTGTGATTTATCAGGTCTGACAGAAAACAGTACTACCAAACATATAACAGCAATGTGTGCAAAATACGTAGAGATAAAACAAAAAGAGCAACTGCATACTCACAACGCTGTGCAATAATCAATTTATTTCTTGAAGCTTTCACTTGTTGTGTATGCCTGAAGGAGGTCACAGACTGAAAGCTTGCAGAAATAAATTAATGATTGTACAGCATTATGAGTGTGCGGTTGCTGTTTTTGTATTTTTTGTGTCAAAAAATGTTCAGCTCAAGCACCTCTCAGAAGAATCTTGCCCACAGATGAGCGGTGGCTTTTTTTCCACAATTTAATATATTTTGACATAAATTCTGATTGTATAACCTCATGCAAAAGGTAAAGTAGATTGTTTATATGGGATCATACAGACAACATTTCATAGTGTACAGAAATTAGTTGTGATGTCAAAAAAGGAAAGATCATCATGATTTGTACTTATCTCCTAAAAATCTGGATTTCAAATTGTAAGAAACAGAAGTGTGGTAAACAAAGCACAAACATTTATTTTAGCACTAAGCACACAAAGGAAAAATAGACAGATAAGCCGGATGTTATTTGAGGGTAAAATGGAGCACAACCAGAGCTGCTAATTAATGAACCTTTATGGTTTCAAACAGCTGAATTGTTTCATTAGTACATTAGAACTGCAATATGTTTCGCCATGTCAAAAGGTACATAAGACAGAACTTTCAATTGAATCTAGTGGACATGCTCATGTAAAAGTTAAATATTTGTCTTTAACAAAGTTTACTCAGTGTCAGACTGTATTTCATGATTTACACACTTACATGATCCTATTTGTGGATCATAAAAGTGATGGAACCTAATATTAGCTAGTATCGTTCAAGACATTAAAATGTTTTGTTCAGCATTTCCCTGAATAGGACAATAAGAGGACATAGCAACTGAAGTTAGAACAATCTAACCCAGTAAGAATGCTCCTCAATCATGCTATTTAAGAAACACCTGGTTACACTGTTTCACAATGTGTCAGTGGCTGCAGTGACAGGCAATTTGTAATACTGACTGAATGTTGGATAAGTTAAAAACTAAACTATTACATTTTTGGATGATTGTTGGCAAAGAAAAAAAGGGTTTTAAATATTACCGTTGAATGGCAATGTGGTTGCGGTCTATAATGTACCATTTGAGGTACTCCTCCACAAGTGTATGCTTCTCACAAGCTTTGACAGGTCGGAAGCATCCAGCTGTTTGGAACATTGTGCTGTTTTGCAAAATTAGATTTTGCAAAGACTCCTGCGAATCGGCTTCCTGGACCTATTTAAAACAAAAGGTATTATTAGGCCAACCCTAAAACATACATGCTTGTTTACTCTTGTCCTTGATGAATAGAAATCTTGCATAAAAAAAAAAAAAAGATGAAATTACTTTTACATTTGGTTAAAATAAGTGGAAATCTGTCCCTTTAATTAAGTACAACTTATCATCTCTTATCTTATTTTCTACCTGATGTAGAGCTCTCCCTATATTCTCATCTTTTACATCTTCCACAGTGGCGCTGAAACTTGGCTTCCCTATTATGTGGTTGACAAGGTCCTTTGAAAGGAAATGTGGTGCTGGTCCCCCGTGTATGACGGACACAGCAATCATTTTGCCTGCAAGATAATACTCATCTTCCCTGACAGCTGTTAAAGAGTACAGAATTATCATACATAATTACCATCTATATCACTGGAAGAAAAAAAAAGAAAAAGAAAATTATCTGAAACTTCTCATTTTAATATAACGTCAAAAAACACACCTGTGGGATTGTACACAAGATAGCGTCTTTCTCGAGGTCCATCGAAGATGGGACGATTTCTCAGGTGATCCATTAGAAGTGTGAGGAATTCTCGCCTCGGCCCACCTGTGTCCAACCCTTCTTCTAAAGACCCTGCATCATCTGTGAACTTCACAAAGATCTCACTTTTTTCGGAGTATGAGCTGCGTCGAAAGCCTCTTACAGCTCCATCCCATACATCAGATCTGGATATATTGAACCTGCTGACTTTGTTGTGGTCAATTGCAAGTGCCAAATTTGCAATTATTTCAGAGGCCTGCACAGTTGTGGGTCTAGAAAAAAGCAAAAAAAAAATTTTAGACATTAAAAAATAGATTCAAAGCACAGTAGCTACTTTACTTACTTTACACAAATCTTTCATTCCATATTCATAGACTATATCCTGACATTAAATTGACACGAGAGACACTGATAAGTCAATCTATAAAAGAATGAGCAAGTTTTTTATTCTTATTAACTTAATTCCAATGGACTCTCTTTAAACACACATCTCAACAACTGGACCTGATTCAAGTAGTTACAGACAGAGAATGTCATATTGGTTTTCATTTTAGTGAGTCCTCACATTTGTATAATTCTATTTTAGACGAAGTAGAGAGCTTGTTTATTTTCTACTTGTGTCTATATGACTCACTCAGATTTTTCTGAGGGCATGTCCTTTTTTTCCTCAACAACGAGAACTTCATCTTCATCATCGTCAATGACGATAGGTGCAAAGAGGTTGGTGTACGTCCTGCAAAACAAAGACGTTCACACAATGTAATTATAGACACACATAAATGCATATCCAATAAAAATCAAACCAATCAAATTGTTGACGAGCTCTTCCAGCTTAAACTCAATATCTAACCTTTGTCAGGAGAGAAATGTGTTTACCCCTCAATAATGTTTCTGATATTTTGTCTACCAATCTATATACAATTACACAAAACACACCTGTAACAGGAGCTCTCGACATCAAGACATGTGGAGGTACTAGCATAATTATGCTCCTCATCCAAGTGTATAGTCTGAAAGTTAAGAAATGTAAAAACAGGACATTCAATAAAATGACAACATAATTATGTAACAAACTCTATGGATTACTTAAACGGGATAGTTCAACATTTTGGGAAGCCTGTCTATTGCAATAATAATGAGAAGGTATATTACCAATGCCCGTTTTGAGAGTCCTGAAGCACAAATGCGAGCTGCTCAGTGAATACAATGGAGTTGGACAGTATAGGTTGTGTAATGATCCCTTCAGTCCACTAGGGGTCAGGGTTAAACTTATCAAATACACAATCCTATAATTCCAAAATGCTCTTATGGACAGGAATGTACCTGCTTATATGACTAATGATGATTAATGCAATAAGGAAAATTGACAAAATATTCAACTATGCCTTTAAGGAGGTGAGATAGAGAACAGAAGATGACATTCAGTGGAGACATTTCCCTGTTTACTTTTATTTTTGCAAATTTAAGTGAAATGTGGTACAATTGCCAATTCAAAAAACTGCATTATGCAAATATATGGCATGATAAAGTATTGAGTTAACTTTTCTTATATGTGCTTCTGTGCTTGAATAGGATATCTGAAGTGACCTTTGATGCATCCACGATCATCTAACTCTCCATATACGCTTTCAATTTCTTAAACCTCTTACACCCTAAGGGGGTATAAATAAATTTCTGCCTGACAAAAACACACAAAAGTAAATAACTTATAGCCTCACAGCTATTAGATTTAAGAAGAAACTTTTGGTACGTCTGTAAAGGTAAGATGTCATAGAATGGTTTTCTGGTGTCAGCACCATTGTAGCTTTGACCCTGCCTGAAATATTAGGGACAAAATACAAAATATTTTGCATTTTTTGAACCTCGCCAAAATTTTCTTTGAAATAAACATTGCAAAACACTACTAAAATATTATTTATAGCACAAAAAAGTAGTACAGACTTTCAAATCTAAATGTTGTGTAAAAATATACCAAATTTGGACTCAATCAGATGAATCATATTTATTTTAGAATGGTATTAGTGAGAAATTTCTTAGGCGGAGAGGCCATTTTGGCACATTTATCCATAAATGTCACCAAACTGTGCCAAATATGTTTTTTTACATCAATACTGGGGGTTTGTTAAAATTACGAGGTCACGTAGCAGCTGGACCCGCCGGTGGGTCCGTAGGGTTCTAGGGGTTAAGTCAGGCACATTCACAAAAGGCTTGTAGTTAACAGTCCATCTGAAATGGCTTTGTATCCCCCCTAAATGAAAAGCAAAGCTTAAAAGCACACAACTGCAATAAACATAATACTATGATTATGAGTTTACTTCAATGGACTTTGGTCTAAAGGTATAAATGTAATCATAACATCAAAAACAGATGGTGGACGATGGCTCCTCTCTATTTACTGCAGGATGGAAAGATATAGAGGATATTTTGTACCCACAGGCATCAGACTTTCTAATTCTTCACTGAATGGTAGATGAGCTGCCAGAAGTGAATTTCCCTATGAGGATCAATTAAGTTATTGTTGTTATATTAGACCATATAATAGTTACATTGATGGCGTCTATGTAAACATTTAGCTATTGTTTTGTTTCATACCTAAAGTCATGGACCAGTGAGGAAGATAGAGACTGTATGTAAATAATACTCCATTACCTGATGTACTTCAGTAGAGAGTGACAACCCCCCATCACCATTCCTGAGGGCAAAAAAGCATAAATCATAGTATACTCCAAAATATATTGGTGACATTGCAAAACCAAACAAACATTGATTTATTGAAGTAACAAGGCATTAGCGTATAGCACACGTAACAAGAACAACAAATTACAAAGCTATGTCAATAGCAAATAAATATGTATGCAAATGCAGTAAAATCTAAATTTCTTTGGTACACACACACACACACACCAACTACTTACACCTTGTCAGGCTCTTTGTGTACAGGACTGCTTTTGTGGTGAGGTTCAAATGGCTGTAGTAAAGACATAATTTAATTCAAATACAAGTATTTGTTTAGTACTGGTAGGCCAATGTCAAAAACCTACACAGGTTGAAGGCAGGTTAATCAGAAAAATCACTCAAATATGTTTTAAATTACACTCACCAGTGTATCAGCTAGATCAAATTCTCTTGATGTTGTTTTTATCACAATCTCAGGGTCGGAGTCAGATGTGTCTGGCAATTCTCCAACTGAAAAACATTCAAATAAGCTCCCCTCAATGAAGCTTTCCCAACGTTCTCAAAAGAGACACATTACCGATACATACTTCAGACATTTGTCATTTATGAATTCAGTGGCATTTCAGTGTCCTTGTGAAGCAAGTCAAACGACACAGGCTTTAAGTCTAATCTAGAGGATTGGTTTGCTTTTTTCATAACACTAGGTGTAGTGTTTTGTTAAAACTGTAAAGCAAAAAATGTGTAGTATAATTCTTTAAGTGATGAATGACCAACATATAGCATTATAGCAAGTCCAGCCATCTCTGCACTGGACACAACTAGGTCATAACAACACAGTTTACCTTTCTCAAAGTCTTTTTTCTGGCAAATAAAAATGATGACCCGCTGATATGTCTTGCCAATTTCTTCCTTGTATGCTTTTAGAGTAAATGGTCTTTGTGTCCCAGGGATATTAATAACTTCAGAGCCATCTGGATAAAGAAGGAGGAAAGGTCCTTCATCCAGGTCTTTGTTGAAGTCCCTCATTTTCCTTACTGCCTCATTAAGCAGATCTAGGGCAGTGATGTCAGGATGTGTAGAAAGGGAAATAGTTTTCCCACGCTTTGGCTTGAGGACACCACCCTTCCCAATGGTCATCAAACCAATATTTATCTGCAAAATAAATAAATTAAATTGTAAGTGGGTAATTTTTAAAGATCAATGTTTACTTAAAATTATCAGTAACGCTATGTTACATGTCACACTTGGATACAAAATGGGCAATTATTAAAATTATTATCAAAATACCACTGAAAACAGAGTAACACACTGTTTATGGTGAAGTGGCCTTTATTGTCATTATACAATGAACTGTACAACTGAATTATGAGGTTAGAATGGAGGGTTAGTCCTGAGCCGCTGCGGGCAAACATAATTTTAAGTGCCCATCAAAAACCCAGTAAACAGCAGATTACTTTTCAATACAGGTAATTGGTAATACAATGATTTGCATGTCACGGTTACATATTCATCATAATAAGAAACCAGCAAATATGTACAAAAGTGAAAACAGGACAGTGTCATTGTCTGAGTAATATGGTCGTGGCACAGAAGCACATTAGTTTTATGCAAAAATATACTGGTGACGCTATCATCAGGCTTACTTTTAGAGAACTGTGATGATGGAAGAATGTCAACAGCTAGTTAACCAGTTGTTCATTCTCACTATGTAACCAACTTACCTGGACTTTACATATTTTCTTTGATTTCATTTTCCCACATGAAAAGTTTTGCCTCTCTTCCGCTTTTCTCTTTCGGTACTCTAGAAAGGTCCCTAGAGTAGGGGTTTGAATAGTCTGTGATTCTACATGGTAGCAAAGGAAAAATATGTTACATTATACATACAGCAGTAGTCTAATGTTTTACAGCATACAAGAAACACATTTTGACAACACATTATCTTTTGTAAAATAGGGGTGCAGTTTTGGTGACACAAAAAATGAAGCTAGAAAGTGAAAAAATCTAAAAACACACACAATCTTTTCTTTATGGCCTGCAAATAAACTAAACCCTGAAGATGCTGCATTTGTCTTCAGTTTCACTGCCTACTGCAAGTTATAACCTGCATAAATACATCTTTCACTCCAAACGGCAAGATTCATGAAACACCTGCAAAGAAATTATCGAGTAAGGTCTGGAAACTGACAGTTGGCCAACTAGCTCTGGTAGGCTAACGGTACCCCATGCAAAAGTAGCCTAACGTTACATTAACGTTATATCCGTTTACTTACTTGAAGGTCCCGCGTGAGCGTCGCTACCGTCTTCCTGCAGCCTTTTCCCACATTCACTGCAGAAGTTAGGCTTCTCTTTGAACTCTTTCCCACAATGTTTGCAATACATGATAGCGGGCTCTGTGCTTCCACTTGTCTGGAGCGCAACAGAATTCTCCGCGCTTAAGTCTGGCGGTGATGTCTTTCCGGTTCAAAGGACGGACCAGTTCTTTTGTCCAATCAGCGATGATTCCTGTCGCCCGAGGGTACCTAGCATTTCCGTTTTGGTTAATGTCGCTGTGTTTTCTCTTTTTGTGTTGTGTTTTCTCTTTTTGTGTTGTGTTTTCTGATTTGCCGTTGTGTTTTCTCTTTTTGTGTTGTGTTTTCTGATTTGCCGTTGTGTTTTCTCTTTTTGTGTTGTGTTTTCTGATTTGCCGTTGTGTTTTCTCTTTTTGTGTAGTGTTTTCTCTTTTTGTGTTGTGTTTTCTGATTTGCCGTTGTGTTTTCTCTTTTTGTGTTGTGTTTTGCACCTCAGGGCCACCGTAGTTTTACCCCGAAATCACACATACTCCGCTCCAGACCGCCTGCACAAAGCAAAGCATACATTCTTCTTCTTCTACTTCTTCTTCTTCTTCTTCTGTTGTTTTATGGCGGATTGGCAGGCCAACGTAAAAGGTGCATTTCCGCCACCTACTGATCTGGAGTGTGGAGTGCACAATTTTGGAAGACTGAGCTATACCCCAAAAAAAAAAAAGAATCCTATAACTAAATCCTATTAATTGTTCCTGTATCTTTTAGATATTTGAATAATATTTCATTAACTCTTGTTTGTCTTATCTTGTTTCCTAACAGTGCTTTTATTGAATTCCCATTAATCCCTATTTTTCTCAACTCTTGTATGAACTTCATTCTCTCCCTTACATACGCAGTACACTCAAAAATAATATGTTGTACTGTTTCTGGATCTCTGCATTTGTCACAATTTCCTCTTTCATGTTTCCCTATTTTAAAAAGACTGTAGTTTAATGCTGTGTGACCTATTCTTAGCCTTGAAATAATTATATCTTTTTTCCTATTTCCATATCTTTTCCTCTCCTTTCCAATAAACTTTTGAATCTGATACAAATGTCTTCCTTTTGACTCATTATTCCATATCGTTTGCCATTTCTTTCGAGTTTCAATTGTAATCAATGTTTTCACTTCTGATTTACTTAAAAATACATTCATTTCTATTTGCTGATGATTTAATGCTTTCTTTGCTAGCTTGTCCGCTTTCTCATTTCCATCTACACCCACATGTGCTGGCACCCAGAGAAAGTATACTAGTATTCTTAACTGCCTTATTCTAAATAGACTTTGCAATACTTCAAATATTAAATCTTGCCTAGTTTCAGATTTTCCACTTAGAAGACTATTTAGCGTAGCCATTGAGTCGGTACATATTACAGTTCTTAGTGGTTGAACTTCTTCCATCCACTGTAGTGCTGATTAGGGTGGCCAGATGTCCGGCTTCAGGGCGGACAGTCCGGATTTTCATTGCACTGTCCGGCGTCCGGCGCTGCACCCAGCCGGACGTGTATTTGTCCTCCTTTACCCCCAGATTCCACATACTCCGTCAGCGCTCCGCCCCGCTCACGTACGGAGTACTTGTCTGTCATGTAAATCAATGAGAGCTGTTCCACATCCTCCGCTCGTCACCGCCCACGTACGTCTTCTCCGTCCTTCACCGTCAAAATACGGAGCTGAGCTATTTTTTGCTCCCCTCCGGTCCGTCCAGATCAAGACCCGCTATTGCAATCGCACCAAAAAGAATGTAGAGAAGACCCGGTTTGTCAAATTAAATTATAGTAAAAACAGATCGGTATCTAGAAATTAGAGCATAGTTCGTATATATTCCCAAAAACTAAGAGCAATTAATTAAATAATTGGATGCAGACTATTGGTGCTTCAACAGACCAGGAAGAAGTTGTGAGATTCTAGAGTGAATCTCACAACTTTAAAAGAAAATTCTTATTGCAGGAATGGATGAAGAGATGATGAGTTTGGAAGCAGAGAATAAACAGAGTTCATACAAAGTATGTATGATCCTAGTTATCCCTGTTACAAAAATCCACAACAGAAAGAAAATATTTGGGCAGAAACTGAACATCTGCTGGATGATGATGGGGATTTTTTTAATATGTCAGATTAAATTAAGCGTTCACAGGTTTTATACAGGAATGAGGAACTCTAATTTAATGCTCTTTTAATGCTATTAGAAATAATTTTAATGCCATCAACAAGTATCATGTACACAAGTTATTAGTTTACATGAAATAAGGAGCTGTAAGCACAGTTCCATGACTCAAGTTATATATATATATATATATATATATATATATATATATATATATATATATATATATATATATATATATATATATATATATATATATAGATAGATAGATAGATAGATAGATAGATAGATAGATAGATAGATAGATAGATAGATAGATATGGATAGATAGATATATAGATAGATATGGATAGATAGAGAACATGGTGAAATCATCTTTACTCTCGACAGGCTGCAGCCATGTCATGAATTCCTCTTTTCCAGCCACTTTTTGCAGTTTGCATCGTCCTATTCTCTAGCTCTTTCTCAAGCTTCTTTTCCAAACAACTGCTTTATGATCAATTGCAGCAGTTCTGCGCAAATTAATTGTGTTAAAAAATGGTCACTTTTTAAACACCACAATGTATTAAATAAATACAAATGCTGGGAACCAATTCTTTTTTACATTTCTTTAATATTTTGTTCTATTCAGCTACACAAGCATCCTCTTTAAACTACTAAGAATTGTGCTATAAATGTGACTTTACCCGATTCTTATGTACACCTTAGTAATTTATTGATATGCCGCACAATGTCCTCCTTTTTGGTGCTATAGAAATGGCCACCCTAGTGCTGATATGATAGCTAATACTTCAGTTGTAAATACTGACACATGATTAGATATTCTTTTTGCAATTTTTATTTTGAATGTCGGAATGTATACTGCTGGGGCTGTTCTTCCAGACTCTGGCTCCTTAGACCCATCTGTATATACCTGTAGAACTGAATAATATTCTTTACTTAAATGTTGTTGTACTATGATATCAGTTGTTGTATTTTTCCTCCGTTTATTCATAATTTTTTGTATTTGTAAATCGATCACTGGTGTAGAAAACATCCAAGGGGGAATTGCCGGTATTGGAACAGTTGGGGTTATTACATAATCTTTCAAATTCAAACTGCTTGCCTCTTTCTTTACTACCCATCCAAAGCTTTTTATTTCGTTATATTCATATTCCCAACAATCTTTCAGAAGAAGTCTGAGCGGATGATTTTCTTTATGTCCTTTTACACTAGCCCAATATCTCATTCTCAGTTGAGTCCTTCGTTGTTCAAGTGGCATTTCTCCCAATTCAACTAGTAATGATACTCCTGGAGATGATCTAAATGCTCCACAACAAATACGTAAAGCCTGATTTTGTATAACTTCTATCTTATTAAGTAAGGTTTTATTCGCAGAGCTATAAACTATACTACCATAATCTATGTTTGACCTAATCACTGCATTATAAATTGTCTTCAAAGACTGACAGCTTGCTCCCCAATCAGCTCCTGACAAGCATCTTAACACATTTATTCCTTTTTTGCATTTTTCTATTAATCTCTGAATATGAACTCCAAAACTTAATTTATAGTCCATCCACACACCTAAATATCTCACTACTTTCACTTGTTCCAGCAGGTAACCGTACATTTTGATATTTAAAGTAGGATTTTGTTTTTTATTTGAAAAGCATATTGCATACATCCTCCGCGGATCAATAAAAATAATTAAAACTTAATTCATTTTTTTTTTAAATCAAGGCCTTAATTGGCACTAAAATTATTTAAATATGTTTATCGAAGTATTTATAATTCTTTAATAAAAAATGCTTATAAAAACAATTTCGTCAGATATATTATATCGCTCCAGGCGGAGAAAAAGCTAGAGGATATATATATACGTATATATTTGTGTGTGTGTGTGTGTTTACATACATACAGGAGTCATGGAACTGTGCTTACAGCTCCTTCATATTTCATATACACTAAAAACTTGTGTACATGGTTCTTGTTGATGGCAATAAAATCATTTCTAATAGCATTAAAATAGCATTAAATTAGAGTCACTCATTCCTGTATGAACCCTGCGAGCGCTTAATTTAATATGACATATTAAAAAAATCCCACCATCATCCAGCATATGTTCAGTTTCTGCCCAAATATATATATATATTTTTGTAGATTTTTGTAACGGGGATAAGGATAATTCAAAACTGCTTTTTTTGAATGAACTTGTTCTCTACTCCCAAACTCAGCATCTCTTTTCATTCCTGTAATAAGAAGTTTCTTTTGAATGGATTTGATTAAAGTTTAAGTCCCTCGGTATAAAATAAATATTTTAATGGAGATGAGAAATCTGCTTCCTTGTTGGTGAATAACCAATAGTTTGGATCCAATCATTTAAATAAACGGTGTTAGTTTTTTTTTTTTTATATATATAAGAATTGTGCTATAATTTCTAGTCACCGATCTGTTGCTGCTATATTTTAATTTGACGAACCGGAATTTGACAATGTTCTTTTTCCTGTTTGGTGCGATTGCAATTGCGGATCTTGACCTGGCCGGACCTTATGACCACAGTGTACCAATCTTCTCATGGCTACTTCCAACAGGATAATGCGCCATGTTATAAAGTGAATCATCTCAGACTCATTTCTTGAAACTTTTCCACTTAAGTAATTGTGAATTGAGCATATTGACAGACAACATTTTATTTTTTTATCTTAAATGCAATTTTTTTTTAAATAATTACTGCTCTAAATGTATTGCTCTGTCAGCTAAAGATCTGTTTTGGTCTCTATACTTTAATTAAATAAATCAATTCAAGCTAAAATGTAAGAGGCTATACTGAGCCTGATCTCTTTGTATCAGAGATTTTCTTACCTTTTAGAAAAATGTCACTTGGAGTAAAACCCCCCCTGCAACCCTGATTTGCATTTGTATAGCTCACAGCATGTTCATTTACATGTTAAAGCCTCCCCTAGAATTCCATGGGGGGGAGGCATGGGGGGAACACTGCCTAAGAAAGTCCACGTCAATTTCTGACAATTTACGGGAGTTTTCGGCGAAGCCTGCAAATTGCCGTAAACTGCCGCTAACCTGAAGTTCCACGACAATCTACAGTGCCGCATATTGACGAAAATCCCACTTTTCATGCAGTGTGTAATGTAAGAGGAGAAAAGGCAATGTTTTAAAAAGATCGGTTCTGGAATGCGTTCTAATGCTGCTTTGAAAAAAATCCCT